GGGGGGGGTAAAAAAACAACTTTATTTAATCTTTTTAAAAAGAACCTAAATTAATATTGGAATTCTGTCATAAGGGTATATTCTGGGGTCTCATTATGAAGTCCAGGAACTTTGCCTGTCTTGTACCTACGCAGTTTTCAGCCTTGGTGTGTTCTGCATTATCTTTCAAAGCTTCGGCTGCACTGCTCAAGTATCTTACTCATCGTTGACTGTCATAGTGAAGAAAAGTAAAGTTTTCTGAAGTGGTATAGTGAAGTCTTCGAAATGTGTGCTGTGGGTTGTGTGTGTGTTTGTGTGCAGTGTTTATCGGCTCGTTTGACTTTATTTCATGTGTACGTATGGAATGTTTGGTGTTGAAATGTCTAAAGTGAAAAATGCCATGGGTAACGTCTGGTGTTCATTTGTTGATTGGATATGACATATATATGTCGGACACAGCGCTAGACAGATCTATATGCTTGTTTCTAGAGTCTTGTGCAACGTGTGCATTGATCACTTTTTCCCCATTCTTTCTTTTGTCGAGCATCCCAGTGTGAATGTTCTGTGCCCGCTCTGTTGTGAAGAAAATTTATCTGATCTCTTCCAATCTGACCAAGTGTTTGGTACACACACACACACACACACACACACACACACACACACACACACACACACACACACACACACACATTTGCGCCCGCCCTCGTATGGCCTATCTATCCGTTCACTTAAGTATCTTTCTATTTATCTTTCTATTTATCTAGTTAGATAACTGTCAATCTCGGCGAGCAAAAGAGGATTGTATAGCTAGGCCTACAGATGCCTCTATAGGGCAATGACAGAGGAAACCGAAACGGAAAATAGAACGAAATTCAGTTCTTTCTTTTTTTTTTTTTCAAAGTGCACTTAGCGCTGCTGCCGTTTACTGTTTGTTTTATTACCTTCATATTATACAGGGCTATCCGAAAAAACACTAAATAACTTTTTTGTAAATATTTTCCTCCACACCGAACTTTTGTGTTTCAAATTTGTACCGAACATTTTGGAGTCAAAAGAAATTTGTCTGATATTCATTTTAGACAAATCCACAATGTAGTTTTTCACTACAAAGCGCGTAAAAAAAAGTATCCTGAAGGTCTCCTTTAATGTCAAGGGTGAAAATGATCCACCTGTTAGGATTTGTATAGAATCAGACCAAAAAATTCCAAGAAAAAATGACCACGACACACACCATTCGCACCACAAATTCGTGGCACGGTCACACATTTGAGATACTCTTTGTTCTTTTGGCAATGTCTGAATGGCGTCGCCTCAGTTTCACCAGTTAAATCCTTTTCAGCAGAATTTCCATGGCTACCACATGATGATTCTGTTTCAGTCTAATCGGAGAAGGGCGTATATAGGAGCGTGCCATTTTTAAACTAGTGTACTAAGTTGAAGATTGGTGCTCATCAAATAAATCATAGACAAAACTGAAGCAGTGGGCTAAACATGTGCGTGATGTCAAAGCGCTGTTACATCAATAACTCCCTAGACCAATCAATCCGAGTACGTTTCGGTGCAGCTGACAAAATACCAGCCCATATTCTTGTCCCGTGTTTCAGATGCAAGTATGATTTCACACTCAAGACATACTGATACCAGCCAGTTGAAGGCTAAAGTACCCCGAAACAGGAATGTCTTCTTTTCTGTTCTTTTGTGTGTGTGTGTGTGTGTGTGTGTGTGTGTGTGTGTGTGTGTGTGTCTGTGTGTGTGTGTGTCTGTGTGTGTGTGTGTGAGAGAGATATATATAGAGAGAGAGAGAGAAAGAGGGAGAGAAAGAGAGTGTG